AAAAAAAAAAAAAAAAGAAGCCACAGCTAGTGGGAAACTACACACCTCTTCCACTCTTCTTCAGAAACTAACCTTAGTTCCACATTGTTTCCTGTATACAGATGGGGCACAACCCAAAAAATGCTTTGATCAGATCACTGGCTACTGCAGGAAGCAATGCAAACCAGGGGAAATCTCTGAAGTAGATTGTGCAAATGAGAAATTGTGTTGCGTTAATGAAGAGGAAAAGAAAAACCTCAGGGAATCTTCTCCTACAGTTGAACCAACTTTGCTGTCATTGGACCAAGATGATTTTATTGACCTACTGCCTGCCACATCTACCCCAAAAAAGAAAACACAAAAGCCCTAGGTTCCCTGAATTCAACTGAAGTTCTGTAGAATCCTACAGGCTACACAGAGAGATTCATCTACTTCTTTCTGTGCACTTCACTAACCCTATGTAATAAACTCCAGTGCATTCATCTATATTTATGTAATGATGTACTCACTCATTTGAGGACATGTTCTACCTAGGGATAGTTGCTCTTGTAAAATTGGGGACGTTGAGGGTCAATTAGGGTACTGTGAGAGATAGAACTTAGATTGTCTACTTTCTAAAAAAGATGAGGATTTCCACACAAAATTGTAGGCATTTTTTTCCTTACTGTAGAACTGAAAATTTTTATGTCATATTTATATATATAATATTTTCTCTCTCCCTCTCTCCCTTTATCTTTTCTGAATCCAAAGGATTTCACTAACAACGAGAAATTGAAAATTAAATATCACACAATACTTCAATATATGTATATAATACATACTAATTACAAGGTCTTATATTTCACTCAAACTCCAAAGAGAGTTCCAGGGCAAAAAGAAAATCCTGATTGGCCCTTGTTAGAGAACTTTGTCTCCATGGTAGCCCATGGGCAAGCTCCTAGTGGAATCCTATTCATCCTGATCTCCCAACTCACCCCTGGTCCACAGAGCCCACATCAGACTTCTCCACAGTTCACCTTTGAAGGCTCTGGTTTTCATCCAAACAAAGTGCCCATGGGGTTTCCTGACATGCCCTGTCCTTCCCAGAACCCTTCCCTTTGTAGATACCATTGTGGTCACTCAAATTGCCTCCCCTCCTAATACTTCCTGTGGCAAGTCTACAAACATCCCAAGGAATCTCATTAAGCCCAAACTCACTCAGAAACTTCCCCTGACTACTCATTTCACCTTTCCCTTCTCCTCTCCTGAATTAACATGTACATCTCCTTGAGTTTCTTGTTCCAGTTCTGACCTGTCATAGGTGTGTTTGCTTGTTCACTTTTCAGTCCTAGGAATTGAACAGAGGGCCTCATGTGTTTAGGGCAACACTCTACCACTTGAACCTCATCCTGTCATCCATGTTACACTTCTGATTTGTGTTTGTTTCAGAGCATTGGTTATAAGGAAGGAGGCCCTGAGTCATCCTTGTCACTGGAGCACTGGTCTTAGTATGTTCATAGGACAGTGGAATATTCTTTTCAATGGTCAGAAACAGTGTTAGCTGGTGAAAATACACACCAGAGGAATGTCCTTCAGTATGTGGTATGCCATAGATCATTCCTCAAAGTGCAACCACAGTCTTCAGTAACCAGTGTACATGGACCCAGGAATTACAAAGTAGAGAAGGAAAACAGTTCCTCACATCATCACCCCTACTTGCTCTACCATCCAATTCTTTTGCTTCCTACTTTTTCTGACCATAGACTCTGTTGGTCTAAAGAGCTTCATTTCCAAATAAGAAATGCTTCCATGAAGATGCACAATGATGCCTTTGACACGAAAGTGGAGACTCCCAGGAACCATTTTTAACGCCTATGTCTCTGAGCAACAGGCAGAAGGGGATTTGTTACAGGTGATCAAGGGGATAGTAGGCTGCTCACTACACAGTGTGGGTCAAGAAGAGGTTTTCTGGAATTCAGAAGTTGCCCTTAGGTGCTTCACATTGTTGTCATGATCTGGGGTGAAAGTCCAAGGACAACCACAACAACCCAGTTGAGGCAGAACCGTTACAGCCTAGGTCCTTCAGGAATGAAAGGCTGAGTTATCCGAGCAGAGGAAAAACCTGTGGCCAAATGAAGTCTTGCCACTGGCCAAGTGGAATGTAGAATGGGTGATGAGACTGTGGGGTTTTGTAATTACTTACCACGTTGTAATATTTTAGTTTTGGATTCGTGTACAATTCTGATGCAAGGGATTT